TTTACCTTGACTTGGTAGGACTCAGCTCTACCTCGTTCCGCATTCATTGCAGTCGGGTAGCAGCTTCGGATCAGGCGGATCCTTGGTGAAGCAACGGGGTGAGAAAGCAGCATCATGCATGCCGTCTCGATTGCGTCGACGGTATTTCCAGGTCGGTCGAGCTTGGGATGATATCACATAATCTGATATGCACGTGTTAAGACATCCCGCTGCTATACGCGTGTAGAGTGTGTTTGGTGTGAGTGTGCTGAACGTGTGAAGGGCTGTCGCCATGTACCCGGTCTAGCTGATGGCAACTGGCTCGCATAATGTGCTTGTTGTTGTGCTGGCGTGTTCAAAGCTTAAAGAAAAGCTTGCAAACTGTATTTAATTTTGTTATCGAGTAGTAAATCAAAATACATGTAGATGCAAGCTTGTTTCTTCTGTTTAATCTTCTTCAGCTTCAGCTTCGATGTAGACTAGCTCGACTTTGCGGCGCTTGCGGTGCCGGTACTTCTTCAACTCCCCGGAAGGGAGATTAGATGATGGTTCCAAGGTAGGCGCCTTGGTGGTTTAGAGCTCCACCCTTCCATGAATACGTCTGTCTTCCAAAATGGTCCCCATTTAGTAGTTCGGAGGTCCTTGAACGTCTACCTCACTTGGTAGGACCCACTCTACCTCGCCCGCATCATTTCCTTGGGTTGCAGCTTCGATCAGGCGGACATTGGTGATGCGCGGGTGAGAAACCGCATCAAGCAGCCGCTTGATTGCGTCCCCGGTATTTGAGGGCGCTCCTGCTTGGATGAGACCGCATAATCTGAAATACCGGGATAAGAAATCCCGGTGCTGTGCGCGGTGATAGGTGTGTGGTGTGAGTTTGGTGGCTTGTGCTGAACGTGTTGAAAAGCTGTCCCCTGTACCGTTCTAGCTGATGGCAACTGGTTCGCACCATGTCCTTGTTGTTGTGCTGGCGTGTTCAAAGCTTAAAGAAAAGCTTGCAAACTGTATTTAATTTTGTTATCGAGTAGTAAATCAAAATACATGTAGATGCAGGCTTGTTTCTTCTGTTTAATCTTCTTCGGCTTCAGCTTCGATGTAGACTAGCTCGACTTTACGGCGGTTGCGGTGCCGGTACTTCTTCAACTCCCCGGAAGGGAGATTAGGTGATGGTTCCGAGGTAGGCTCCCTGGTGGTTTAGAGCTCCACCCTTCCATGAATACGTCTGTCGTTCAAAAAGGTCCCCATTTAGTAGTTCGGAGGTCCTTGAACGTCTACCTCACTTGGTATGACCCACTCTACCTCGCCCGCATCATTTTTTGGGGTTGAAGCTTCGATCAGGCGGACCTTGGTGATGCGCGGGTGAGAAACCGCATCAAGCAGCCGCTTGATTGCGTCCCCGGTATTTGAGGGCGCTCCGGCTTGGATGAGACCTCGTAATCTGAAATACCGGGATAAGAAATCTCGAATTAAGATGATTGCTTCCAATCTCCGTAATAGTCTGCACGGCCGTTTGGCAGGTACACACGAGTACGTTTTCTGCTCAATAGAGGCAGCCCAGATAGGCCACACGTAGTCCAGCTGAATGATTGTCTTTGCTCAAATCAGGAGCGAACGGCCCGTCAGATCTAACCGCAGTTGTTACCAAGCTCTCGAGTGTTGCCTAGGTTTCCGAGCTGATGAAGAATCCGCTGCTGCGATTGTGTACATGAAGGGTTTGCATATTATCTTGTGTAACTTTGCTCAGATCAAGTGATGGTTTCGGACTCGACTACGGTCGTTCTTGTGTAAAATCTCTGTTGATGCTGATCCCGGATGTGTCCGGGGGTGTCCGTATCAACGTCGCTACCGGTATTGAATACATTACACGACTGTGTTGGCAAACGACAGAGCGAAGGGTCGGCCTGAGCGAGCGAGTGCAGTGATTGCCAAAATATGCATGCATAGCGTCTTGTAAGTGATCGAGATGTATTGCGCATGGCGAAACCTTAATCGTTGGATATGAAGGGGTTGATGACACTTGAGTATATGTGGGGAGGTGGGTTGGTTGCAGCGTTTGTTTATGTGGTTTGTTTGTTGTTTTTGCGCCGGTTGGTGCGTGTGCATGTGTTGATCTGCGCGCTTGAGCTGCACTTTGGTTGTGTTAAGCTGCTGCAAGTGTTGTCAAGGTACACCCGTCTAGCTCAGTCGGTAGAGCGCTGGCCTTTTAAGCCAGTGGTCGTGGGTTCGATCCCCACGGGGGGTGCTTGCTTCTTTGCGATTCGGCTGTTGCCACGGTTGTGAGCGCCTAGTGCGTGCATTCGACTCGTGTGAGTCGTTGTTGCATCCGTTGTGCGTTGTTTGGCAGCACTCGTGGCTGTGCTTTATGTTGCGCCATGTGTCTCCACTCTGGGTGGGGAAGAAGCTGCCGACAAGCCGTCTACTCCATCTGCGATGTCTCCGGCGGCTACACCGGTACTGGGTCAACCGGTACATACACCGGTTGCTAATGATATCTCGAGTGTATCCCCTGTTCCCACGTCGGTCAACGCAGTGACACGCTCCGCATCGAGCCCACTTGCGCCAGCTAACTACGCGCCGAAGCATGCGGCGCGACCAATCGACTCCGCAGTCGTCTCCGACTTCGTACTACAGCGCCAAGCGGTCACCCGCTATGTTCGTGACGCACTGCAGGACGCAGTGGACAAGCAGAAGGAGAACGCTGATAAGGCTGGCCGCAAGAACACAGCCACGTTTACGACAGGCGAACGAGTGCTCCTGTCGACTGAAGGTATCAGAAACTCTGCGGTTACCAACCTCGGCGCGAACAAACTCGCGCCGCGCTTTATTGGGCCGTTTACGGTGATCAAGACCATTGGTGACGCTTACACTCTGGATATTCCTTCGACACTACGGCTACATCCGACGTTCGACGTCGGATGTTTAAAGAAATACCATCCGTCCGAGATCCCGGACGCTGATTTGTCCTCGAGTGACGCGGCAACTTTCCAGCGAGATGGTTCTCCTCCTTTGATCGACTCTTCGGGCGCTCAGCGTTGGATCGTTGAGCGAATCGTCAACCACGACTTTCGCCACCCGTGACGGTCACACTGAAACGTTTCCACAGGGTCGCTCCCTGCGTGACAAGGAACAACACTATCGCGTGCGTTGGTTGGGACTACGTTCCCGACATCGTGAACGAATACGAGAAGACACTCACGTTCCGAAGCGTGAGTGAGCTGGGTGCTGATATCCGCGGTGAAGAAGGCGACCAGCTTCCGCGGGTACACGGAGGCGCTTGCATTGCTGATTAAGAAGAAAACTGGAGTTGACGCCGGGATCGAACCGGTGACCAGCTACACGAGAACTCAGCACTGTACCGCTGAGCCACTCGGTGAGTAAGCCGAGTGAACAAGTGAGTGAGTAAGTGAGTGAGTGAGTGAGAGCGAGTGAGTGAGTGCGACCGAGGTTCCACGACGACGAGTGAAACCCCAGCTCGCAGGTCACCTATATTCTGACGTCGCAGTCGCCTGGGCCTACAAGATACTTCTTCGTACGCTGTGCAGTCGCACATCGTCGCTCAGTCAACTGAGTGAAGTGGTTTCGTCCCCGTATTCGCAGTCTCAAGTACCTCGTGCGCTGTCTTCGTGATCCTCGTGTCTGCTAGAACATCGTGGACGTTCCACGATGAGCGTATCCCCAAGCACAAGGAAGTCTCCAGTCGGCGCTCAGTCTTTGCGTCTGTGGTGATCATCGTGCCAGCGTTTCCTTGCAAAAACACTTGCTCGTGCACTTGTCGCGGAGTTTGATCTCCGTGGGAATCGAACTAATGCCTACTGCGCGTGAGCATGCTCCGTTACCCGCTCGGACACGACGTCGCAGAAATTTTGATGCGCCTCAGGACAATACCAAAGGTCCAAGCTTCACTCCACCAGAACCTCACCTGGCGCCTCGAAGCCCACGTGTGTCGACACCAGCGCCAGCGACGGTGGCCTCCAAGCTGTTGTCTGAGATGGCTTCTCGCTCGGCACGCTCGCTGCCGAGCGTGGTGTCTCTTGTTGATACGCCAGTGGCTTGATGTCGTGACTGTCCGCGATGTCGCCGCTGTCTCCGCCGTTCCAGCCGTCTTCTCCAATGTTCTTCATCAGTGCTTATGTTGCGTAAGTGCAACTTTAAGAGGGGGGTAATGTAATGGGCCCCTCCATTAC